TATATATATATTATGCTTATAAACAACTGTTAATGTCGCCGCATGCCGACGTACCTTAATGCTTAGGATGAATTCAAATCTACGTCTCTTATTCTTTGCACCAGCAGATTCTTCTTTTTTCACATGTGATTTCTTCTTAACATTTCTTATTATAATCGCATACAATGTTGCGTTAACGAGCATCATTACAGAAATTGGTACAATGAAGGCCAATTTAATCGCTTTATTCGTCAAAAAACAGTTAGTATATTCGTATATTGTAGCGACCTCTATCGATGAGTACTCCACTGCAACACAGCAAATAACAATCAGTGCTGGAGTACAAAACGAGTACAGGCAATAATACCAGAACAACTTTTTCTGCACATTTTTTGAAAATACTGGTTTAGACTTCGTAGAGAGGAATATATTCAAACCGAGGCAGTTAATCCAGCAAAAAGTACAAAGAAGGCCGAAATGCTGAGCAATGGCTACTGCCCTACAAGCAGGTGGAATCTCCTTGTCAATTAACAATAAAAGGTACAAAAAGCATCTGAGCAAGATTGTAATCAACAGAAGAATATTTATCCAGCCTGACGTATTCTGCATCGACGGAAAAAAATAGAATGTCAAAAGAGCTATTACGATACTGATGATTGACAAAATGGTTCCTGTCAAAGTTATAGCGAATGAAATATCTAGGTATACAGCAGTAACGCCTTCCTTTAGGTCGGCGGTAAAAGTGGGGTCTTGGTTTGTGATATTTTCACCAAAAGGTAAGCTATTATTATACATCAGCGATACAACATCATCAGTATCAAATTTATCATCTGGGGTAGTAGGATACACGGTCGTCAAGCCTCCGGTACTGTCTATGAAGATCGCAATAGATATTTGTAATTGAGACGTAGACTTAAAATCAGGAGAACATTCAGGCTTAGCACAATATTCACAAAGTGAGTTGACAAAGCAACTAGGATTATTATAATCTTGATATGCTAGGCAAGCTTGATTTAATAAGTCGCTACCGTTATTTGGCTGATCACACGCATATATTTTTGGTTCACAAAGACGGTACCCTATGTCCGGTGGTAAAACTTGATACTTGTAAGGATTCGCATTTTCTATAATCTGCATTGTCTTGTTTGTATCTTCAAGATCTAAGGCGTTCAAAAATCTGTCGTTTAGGCCTGTACCCTGAAAATTGAAGATTTTTACGAATGGTATAATACGACTGGGGTCAATGGAATTACACTGCGCGCAGTACTCATTTATGAAAACTAGTTCTGTAAGCTTATCATACACAAGAAAATCAGATTCACCAACTGCGCAGGCTTTATAGTCATGCTGTTTGTTGCAACTTCCAACTGTTAGTATTTTAATCTTGTTAAGCACGTTACATGTAGTGTTCTTACAACTGACTATATTAGCCTCGCACTTGAATTCCACAAGATTTTTCTTTCTCCCCATAACCAGATTTTCAATTTTGTTCAACGTTTCAGGGAATAAATCTACACTCAACGACTCACTTTGTGGATTGATCGAGTCAATAAAATCCTTCCAATTTGAAATACTTGTATTGCTTATTTTCCCATCAACTGAAAAATTGGAGATTGACGCTTGCCATATTTCATAATCAAGACAGCAATCTTGATACTTTACACACACTGTGTCGCATTTACAGCCTCTTGACTGATCATCAGCCTTGAAACACGAATTTTGACCTGAAAATTGCACGGTTGCGCCGAATAGTTTAATATCAACTGAAACTGAAGAATAACAGAAATTAACTTTTAAGAAAGATATTTAGAAGAAAGTGAAGTTAAAATACATCAAGAAGCTCTCAATGAAAACTACGTTTTCAATATTGTCGCAAAATAATAAATACATCAACAGTTACCTTCTCTTATTATACCTCTTTATTAGTTAAGCTCTGTCCGTACTATTAAATTTTATGTTACAAATAAATGTGATATGTCTGTAATTGGATGATATATGACATCTGCATGTTTATATAATGTTGACCACACAAGTTGTCACACATGATGTGATAGTGTGGTCAGAGATTTACAGATGTAATATGAAGCTATATCATTGGCAGCAGTAATCCGTCAAAATAAAAGAGAATGTACGGTTTTCAATCAGGAGAGGACAACTGCAGCAGTATTAGACTATGGGCTGTCACCACCCCTCTCCTCGGTGGATTTTGTGAGACAACTATTTTTGGAAACCTTACCATAGAAGGTTTGAGATCAGGTTGGCTGCACGCACATTGCGTGGTGATGGGTGAACCTGTGAGGGCGCTTTTAAAAATGGCCGATAAAATCCCATAAAAAGACATAATACCAGCCCGTCCCCCTGTCGAACAGCTCAGCCCCCCTCAGAAAATATATCCTAGAGCCTCCACTGTTGATGGCACCTACTAATAAGCAAGACTATCAATAAGGAGGTAACACTAACAGAATGTCAATGTTAAAGATGTTTTCAAAATGGCTACTGGCTTTATTTTTTTTTTCACTTTTAAAGTTTATCCATATACATTTTAAAATTTATTATTGGTAATTAAGTATTTTTTAAGATAAGCGAATTTTAAAAAGGAAAGAAAAAAAATCATCACTGCATGTATTTTTGACCACAGAAGAGTAGTAAGGATGTGTACAAACAGCTAAACAACTTTTAGCCAATCGGGGGCTTTTAGATGACATTAGGCCTACATAGCAACATAGCTGAATCACTGAGTTGCAATCTAAAACCCATGGCGCTTTTTAAAATGTGTAATAATAATAAAGATAATAATGAAGATTTATAAATCGCACATCAATGGTGCTCAAGGCGCAGGCGTAGCTTGTCCTTCAGCTATGATCACCAGAACTATGCCAGATATGCCACCGTATATATCCCTTAACCTATCCCAGTCACATCCACGAGGAGAGGACCGCTTAAGAAACCAGAGCCTTGCAGGCGTCAACGTTCCTATGCATGATACACGACTTTTAGAAGTATATATACGTGTATATATATATATATGTATGTATATATATACATATATGTATATATACGTATATATATACACATATACGTATATATATATATATATTTATACATATATTTATACATATATATATATATATTTATATATATACATATACGTATATATATATATACATATGTATGTATATATATATATATGTTTATGTGTGTGTATATATACTTATATATAAGTGTACATTATATATAAGTATATAAGAATATAAGTGTATGGATCCTACTAACTGTTAGCTGCCGTGTGAGAACATAGCCTTAACGGCTGGCCTGAGCATTTATATACCTGCTGCCAACTTTGTTGGTGTCTGATGCAAAGACTAAAAAAAATGTATATAGTACCCTCTATAGAATAATCATGAAATAGAGCACCCTCTGTTTTTTTTTTAATTGTAGTGGAACTGCTATGGATTTTATAGTCGTCAATCAGTATACCTGTAGCTTTTTTATTAACTTTAGGATTTTATTATCGACCCATAGGCCTACATTTTATCTTTATACACATTTTTATGATACGTGTGAGAATACAACATTTGTAGACGTGAGACGTAAAAAGTGGATTCTCATGCACGAGATTCACGCATTATACGTAAGACTTTAACGGTGAATGTTAATATGTTAGGCCATCACAAGTTTAAATGGATGAGGCTCTTCAAGGCTCTTACACTGTGAATATTGACTTCAATCAAAACTGTTCATAGACCTAGGAATGTGAAGCAATGAAAATATAAAACAGTAACACTAGAGCCTCTATAGATTTGGAAGTTTGAAAGTTCCATTCATGGCTGAATGAATCTTGGTACATCGTCATAATTAATACACACCATAGAGGGCTACTGTAGACTTATGCTACTGTAGCTAGCCCCAGAGTGTAAAATAAGGGCTGCGCAGGGAATAACTATCCTCTGCACTAAAATTAGGCGTAGAAATTTGTCTGCACATTTTAGTAAAATAACGGCCGATTTCCATGCATACCTTGCCGAAAAATCAGGCCTTCGTCTAGGGCTATATGCATTATGCACTGTAAGTAATAACATTTTAAATACAGTACAGTAGGCCAGGCCTGAAGTATAGGTACGCATTCCCCACACAATTAGTAGTATTTTAATTGCGTGGATGATACCGCAAAAACTGGATTAAATTTGAGTACAAAAACAGAAAAATAGGTGCGCAGAATAGTAAATACTGCATAATACATTGGTTAAATATTAAGATTAATAGGTCAAAGCCAAATTTTCAGCAAAATCTGAGCAGAAATCGGCCCTTATTTTCCCAAATGCGCAGACAGATTTCTTGACCTAACTTTTACGCGGAGGATATAGGCTCTATTTAAAGCGAAAGCCTAAATTTACAGCCTAGTAGCCTAGCTAAATACTGGGGCTAGGGGCTTAGGCCCTAGGCCTAGCATAAGTTTACAAAGTAAGTAAGACTCAAGACTAGGCCTAGAGGGGCTCAATGGCCCTACATACCTAGGCCTACCTAGGTCAATTTATAAATTACAGGTTTTACTATCTACTGTAGGTACTGTAGTATCTGTATCTGTATGGCTTAATGCACAGAACCTCACATCTGAGTATATTATTAGTGCAGGCGCAGAGTTTTTCAAGACATTGTGGACCATCCAAAACTTTCTCCAAGTTTGATTTAGATTTATGATTTTAAATTTATTAAATTATTAATTATTATTATTTTTTTTTTTTAGTCGTTATGTACCCGACAGTCGGCTGCCTTTATATTTTCACCTGTTTTCAGTTTGCATTCAAAGGGTACATTGCTGCACAGCCAACTGTCGGGGATATAGTACCTTCATATGACTACTCATACGTATACAACAGAAAAAAAAACGTCGCGTGGACTAAGTGAAAAATGGAGATCTAGATGAAGAAACGATGTATTTCAGCAAGTATTAAAACATTTTAGTTTTATTTTAGGCCTTCTTCAAAATACCTATGCCTACAGCAGATGATTTTTTTGCCGTAAAACCAAAATAGTTTCATCCATGCCGACATTCCGGTCGGTTAGCGTGACCCCTGACTGAACTCTGCAGAAATTTCACATCGATCTTCGCATCGCGATGTAAAACAAAATGTCGGAAAACTTTTCTTTGACGCATGCGCATTTGCATAAATGTCTACACACACACACACTACACACAATAAAAAACATAGGAAATATCAAGAGTGATTACAATAGTTCCTATTGCATTACGTGCATAGGAACTAAAAATGGCTTCAGTGTGAAGAGGTCAGACATCCCTATGTCCAGAAATGCTGTTGACATCACAATTGAACATCCAATCGTCATGCAAAGTCCCATGGTGGAATTATAGGTTTCAGCTGGAATTACTCGGCGTATTCCAGGTGGTGCACAACAAGGCACGCTAGAGCAGGAACTACTCTACGTATTAAAAGAGTATCCGACTAGTTGTCGAAATCCAGTTCGCTGAAACCCTGTTTGCCGAGTTTGTTTCCACTTTTCCGAAACCTACTTCGCCGAATCCAGTTCGCCGAAAACATATGAACCCAGTTCGCCGAAACCCGGTTTACCGAAACACCGTTGGCCGAAACTCAATTTGCTGAATCTTGTCACCGTCGGACAAAATTGCAGCACACTTTACTTTTGAAAAAGTGATGGGAGGGTCAGGGAGAAGCCGCATTTAATATATAAATTACAAGGCAAAATACTGGAAAACAACAATTCTGTGGGAAAAAATAGCTGTATACAAAATTGATAAGCAAATGCTAAAACGTTAAAAGTAAATCATGACCACTATTTCTTTCTTCTAAGTGGTTATATATATATATATATATATATATATATATATATACATATCCCATTTTTTTTTATTAAAATGCACGTTTTAAAGGAAACCAATATTTCTTGAAGATGTTGAGACAGGGTAGATGCTATCGCTTACAATGTAAAGAATAAAAAGCAATTGTTAAAGAAAAGCTTATAAAACTGATTTACTATAGCTGGAAGGGAAATATTCCACTATCCAATTTATACTAACAAATCCTAGCGTTCATATTAAATTATTTTAATGAATATATCAAACATGATGGTAGTCCGACTTATGTTAGGATAGATCTACGGATCTTATAAAATTCTGATGAATTTGTTTCATGGAAGACATGAAGTGTCGTGGAATAAATGAATAAATAAGGTAATAATTGTTTTTGTGTAACTTGCGATTGGAATTGGTCAATGTGGCATCTTCTCGGAAAACAGTCATTTTGCTGCATATATCTAAAGTATTTTGATGTGATACATTAGATAGGACTAATCAACACAAAAGAGGCTATATAGAGTGTAGAATAGCTTCATGTTCACACATTTCCACAACAAAGGGAGCTAAAGTGAAAGAACATCGGGGTCGGCCTAGTCCCTTACTTTCCAAATGCAATGGGTTTGGTTCTTTAATGTGCACACGAGCACACGAGGCAAACTTGGGCACAGGACCTCCTTCGAGAAGACTTGGTTCTACCAACCGAAATTGGTGAAGACGTTCTTCGACCAGTCGACTTCGCTGTGTCGAACTAAGCCCCAGCCTCCTGACCACTTGGCCGCTCGACATATATGCGCAAACAAAATTGAGTACCGGTATAAGCCTAAAATGTAAAATCAAAACTTTTATTAGGCCTAAGTATTACTCTCAAAAAGCCTTTCGCGAGTTTTTTACCCAACATCTGTACACCTTTATGCCAGCTAAAAAGCACTCTAATAATGTTAAGAATGATGGGGAGGAGGGGTCCGGAAGTCAGCAACCATCTTCCACTATGCATCCTCCCAGGAGTATCATTTAACATATAAATAATCATTCTATGAAACCCATGGGACGAATGCTGCAAGTATTACCATATACAACAGAATATTCAAAACTTCTAAAGCATAATGTTGAATACTACTATACAGTAGTAGTATTTTTTATGGATGTCTTACTTTGGAATATTCTGTATACATTTTTATAAAATTAAGAAATAACTTGAACTAATTATATTTAAACTGCAATTTTTAAAATGATTATTAAGGTTTTTTTCATTATTTTAACTTTGCTGTCATACTCTGGAATTATTCTTGTAAATTAAATCAGAGTATAATTAAAATGATGATATTTTAAATGCTATATTATTAATTATGTTAACTCTTATGGAATTTATATCTGTACAGATTTTTAAATTGTTTCTGTACTCCGAGTTTTTGCTCTTGTTATTGATCTTTTTTTATGTCTTTTTTTATGTCTTTCTTGATTGTGTTTTTGGTCTCTTTTGTGTATCCGAGGAAATCAAATTTCAATTTTACCTGTTGTATTATTGACTATAAAATTACTTTGAATTTTGAACTTTTAAAACGACCTTTTGCAAATAAAAGCCAAATTACATTTTACATAAAGAAGAACATGAGCCAATAATAATTTTGTTAAGTATTAAAGTAGGTAAGATAATCCACTGATATAGAATATGGTAGAAATGGATTGAACAACACATGCTAAAATGTTGTGATGGATGTAAACATTCCTTTTTCGTCACGTACTGACTTACTTACTTTAGTGACTAACATGGTCACTTTGTGATATATTTTATTCCATTTATTTGTATCAGCCACACTCGAATTGGAGCCCAGTGGGCTTAATCTCGAGATGAAGCCTATCTCGAATTGAAGCCCACCCCCCACTCTCTGTCTCTCTCTCTCTCTCTCTCTTAAGTTTTCATAATTAGCCTCGAAAAGAAGCCCATCTCGAAAAAGAAGCCCATCTCGAAACAGAAGCCCATGGGATTCAAAGTTCGAGAAAAAAAGAAACCCAGGGCTTCAATTCGAGGTTTTACGGTACTCTGCTGACCCTTTCACTGTACTGTACCGGTACTAACGTAATTTGAATAATGAATTGTCACATGTGTTACTTTTGTGATATGTAGTGTCCACGTCCAATATTTTGTAGACTCGTGTTACTGTAAAATTATTTTTTACGATATTTTATTGGACATAAAGAGGAACTCAATTGCCTATGCCAATGATGTTAAGACATTTTTTAAAATGGTGCTAAGATATATGGACGGTAAATCGACACAAACATTTTGTCCTTACACAAATTAGTATATGATGATTGTGTTAGCGACCAGTGCAAATGCAGGGAAATTTGTTCCCCCACCCCCCAGTCTGTCAGACCTAGACCCCCTGTCGTACAATGCGACACGACAAGATCGTCGGATCAAAAGTTAAAGAAACTAATAATAATTTGCCTATCCAAATAATGTTAGGTTGATTGCCAATCCCTAGTATATTATGTAAATATTGATAATATAATTAACGACATCGTTAAAATGAAACAAATATTTATTAATACAAAATTCATTTCACCTCAAGCTACACACAAATGGGATATTGTGTTTAACACTGAAGATATAAAGTGGAGTGACGTTTGGATTAAAATGTAAAAAAAAGGGAAAAAAATAAATAAATAGGCATATGCACAACTAAATTATAAAATGTTAAATAATGTACCGTAGTTCCTACTAACCTACTTCTATATAAGTGGATACTGAAAGAAAGAAATGAATATGACATTTGTTGTGTAATCCAAGATGAGAAACACACGTTCTTCGAGTGTATACGTTATGAGGTCTTATGGAAAAATATTGATATGATTTTCGAAAAATTAGACAACAGCAGAAGGGTGTAACTGTGAATTTAAGAACCAGCTATAATATTCAATTGCTGTTTTTTCTATCTATAAAATAAACTTTTAACTGGGTTGAATAAGCCAGTATGCAAAAACTCTTGGATTATGTTCAAGACCAATGCAAAAGATTTGAATACATTAGGCTTTTTATAATGCTTAAGGTATATAATACAGATATTTTACTGCATTGTATATTCAGAATATCAATTGTATTTGAACTATTTTATTTGAGAGTTTGAAATTATTAAAAAAATACAATGATATAACAATATTATTATTTGTATATTATTGTTTTATTATTGTTTAGAACTATATTGTACAAAGAGTTTAAAATATATAGGGGAAAAAACAAGAAAAAAGGAGGATCAACAGAGTACACAATAATGATCATTACTAACAATATTGAACATTTTCTGATAAATCGACGATTAAATAATTAATGAAGGTGGGTGATTACCACATGAGAGCAAAAAATTAAGAAAATAACGAAAAAAGGTGGATAAACAAGCGTTAAACCCGAAATATATATATATATAAATCATCAAAGAAAGGTAAATACAGTGTTCGAATAAAGGACATAACAACACATCGTGTAGCATAGCTCTCAACGAATGTAGTCCTGTAAATATATGAATAAAGAAATTGTGTAATAAAATGCCTCTGGCGGGACTCGAACCTGCGTCCTCTCGCTGTCAAGGCGAGCGTCATAACCATTAGACCACGGAGGCTTCACGGTTAAACAGATTCAAATACCACCAGATACACTCCATTACACAATAAGTACGGCTAGAAACAAATAATTGCATATGCTGTAATATAAATCAAGATAGCCGTTAACACTGTTAAATTATATACATAAATCATCAAAGAAATGTAAATACAGTGTTCGAATAAAGGACATAATAACACATCGTGTAGCATAGCTCTCAACGAATGTAATCCTGTAAATAAATGAATAAAGAAATTGTGTAATAAAATGCCTCTGACAG